GGTACAACGGAGAAGACGTTAAAATATGTTCAAATTACCCCACACTACCCTATGACCTTTTTCAACTCTCTTGATATAACCCCGTTCTCCTTCAATAGATATGACCTCTTCTCCCGTACCCATCGCCACCAGCACCGTCATCGCTATCACTATCACCAACACCATTATCATCACAAATGACATCACCACCACCACTGGCACAAGTTCAGGGATCGGAAGACCTATAGCAGGTCGCCCCAACCGATGTGTTCAATGTGCGTGTTCTGCCGTGGGTCATTAACCTTACGCAGGTGGACAGGAGACACCCCCACCCCGCCCCCGCTCCTCCCGCCAGACGTGTCGTCTTCGGGTCCGATCGGCACCCCCCCCCTCCCGTTGTGAACCCGCCGAGCGGCAAAAAGTCGTCCCAGGCTGATTTGCATGAGCCGCTGGACAAACACTGGTGCTTTGGCGGCGATGAGTGATACGATGCCGAGGAGGGGGGGGGGGGAGCATTACCGTGCACCTGTTGACGATGATATTTGTTGGCCCCTAGATTTTCCCTCGCCACATCTGCTACAATAAATATGCGGAGTCTTTTTGTCATCTGCGAATCCCAACAACATTAAAAGAACAAGATAGTGGCCTTTATTTCCAAGCGCCCCTATTCTTTCTATCTACTCAATCGTTAGTCACGTCACCGTCTTATCGCAAACTACTTCCTTATTTGTCCGGTCGTAAACCGATTTTAGCATCTGTCTTGTCCGTGGCATCACCAGCTGTGTTGGCGGAATAACTGTACCGCACGTATTACGGCTCTCCGTCAATAACTGTACTTTGGGACAATCTTCGCCACGAGGCTGTCAGAGGCCATTTAGGCCCTAATGAGTGCCACCTGCGGCTATTTTGGGCACGAGTCCTGCCCGCTCGGTCGGACGGGATCCCGCTGTGTCACCGTATGTTAGGCCGTGTGCTGTGTCACCGTGTAGAGACCTTGAGCTGTGTCACCGTATGCTAGGCCATGAGATGTGTCACCGTATGTTAGGCCGTGTGCTGTGTCACCGTATGCTAGGCCGTGAACTGTGTCACCGTATTCTATCGGTGATCACGAGATCTGCCACCGCAGCACCATCGGTTATCGTTATGCTCACCATCGATGAGATGCTGCGATGCGACATTGGACAATACATGGGAAGCGTCGGCCGCTGCTTGGTTGTTTTTCCCTCATACAATTTATTCGCTTGTAATATGGCACTGTCATTCACATGTGTCAGCTCAGAGGCATCGCTGCTCACTGCACAGTAGGCGATTGTTTCATTGCCGTCGCTGTTAACGTTGTGTCGTACCGTTGTAGTGTCTCCTCGTGCTCCCATGCTGTGTTCAGTCCCATTCAGCGGCACGATGAACCATTCAGCGGCACCCCTCCCCCCCCCCCCAGCACCAGTCACCATCACCAGTCCGCCGTATCAGCCCACTGGGTATCCCCGTTCACCCCCGAAGTGCGTTCGCCGGGCGCGTGGAGCCTCGCGCTGCCCGGGCCGCGGCGCCGCGCCGGCTGCGTGCGCACAGCCGTGCATGTAATGACGGCACTGAGGGTGACCTTCTGACACCATGGCCGCCGCCGCCGCCGCCGCGCCGCCGCGCCGTCCCGCACTGATGGCAGGTTTATAGCTCCTGGCAGCGGGAGATGGACAGATGTGGGCTATCTGGCGCCTGTGATATCGAGAAAAGTGGAAACGAAGGAAGGACCGAGTGTCGAATCGAGACTGGAAAATTATCGACTTTAGCTACGCTCACGATGGGACATCAAGATCCCTGTGTGATGCTTAAAACAGCATGTGTTGTGCTGAGTAAAGGGGGGTGATTGCTCTATTGCTGATAACTGGGGCCGACTCGGGCACCGTGCTGAAAACGGTCCTCCGTAGCTGAACAATGAATATGAATACCACCCCGTCAGGAGTCATTGATACAAATCTCGCCGGTCTTTGAGCGCGGCGGGCTGGTAAAATATTGATTTACCTGGTGATGGATGTCGTCCCGGTCCGGTCCGGTGTGGTAATTACCATAACAGCGGGCCGGGGTGAGAAGGGTTCGCACCAGGCGGGTCACCTGTTTGCCGGCCCTCCAGACTGAGTGGCTGCCGCCGCCGCCGCCGCCGCCGTCTACAGGGGACTCGCCACTGCATGGAGAGTCAGGAGTGTGCCTGTCACGTTAGTATGCATGTATTTGGTTAGACGGATTGGGAGGAGGGAATCGGATGCCGGTCATTATTATAGAACCAATATTTGATCGCCCGATTGGAAAAGGAGTTCAGCATTTTAAGCGACATTCAATGCAGTTTGCGTGCGAAAATGAAATGAATCGGGGAGGTTCAGGACTAGGAGTGGATGGAGTGTGTGTTTGTGAGGGGGGATTGGGGGAGTGAGGTGAGCCGCGAGCGGTGCTGACTGATGTCTGTGAGTTTGTAAGTGCTCGTATTAGTCATGACTCGTGCGATAGAGTGACTCCTTGGGCTAGAGCAAATATAACAAGTGCTGTGTAAAGAATAGATGATGCCCATTGCCGCTACTGTAATCGCTCCTCAATGACGTAGTAGATAGGTGAATCACCGTCCAATCCCGGGGCCGCGGGGACAAGGAGCGTAGTAACAGGTGTCCTGGCTCGGATCGAGAGAAATGCATCATCAGCCGGCGCCGGTCGGGGGGTGGGGGGAGGGGCAGCGGCCGGCGGCTGTCTTCACGTGGTGGCTGGGCGGCGTGCCCGCTGCCTCCGGCTCTGACCCAGGCTCCCGCGCGATTGGCCCGTGCTGTGACCCCTGATGACCCGGAACCAGACGCCCGTGGCAACGGGGGCGCGTCAGGATGACGTCATAAGGCGCGGTGAGTGACGTCACATACCAGTGACGTCAGATTTTGGCCGATGAACCCTTCGACCGCTATTGCACGCTTGTGATCTCTATTACACGGCAGAAACACGGCTGAAACACAAGTTATGCTTCAGAAAAGGGGAAAACAGACAGGTGTTATGTAAGGTGCAAACATCTTAATATTTTCATTTTTCATGTCTTCTTACTGGTTATCGAAACTCACGGCCATATTTCCGTCCATTGACCAATGACCGGTGCCTGCCGGAGTCAGCCCCTCGACCTGCAGCCCTCCGTAACCCAACACGACACCGCGTCACCCGGTTACCGTCCGTCACACGCGGCGCACGTGCACACGTCACGGCCCGTCTGCGCACGTGACACGGGATACGCGGCGGGCACACGGGCCGCCGTGGCCAGCCGCTAATGAGTGACCAGACACGGCCGGCTCATTGGGGTCCGGACCTCACCCTTTGGTCAGTCCGCCTCTCTGGGGGAGGGGCAGAGAAAGGCGAGATGATGGGAGACGGGGGCGGAAAGATGGCGCGTGACCGTGCAGCCGGAACGCGTATTGGTGAATAGAGGAACATGACAGGTCGTTTGTCATGTGCCGCTCATCGAAAGTGTAGCTGCCGGGAGGAAGAAATAATGCTGGTCGAGGGAACTGCCGCCATTCGCCTGACGCGCTGCAACAGGATTTATCACTAATAGTTTCCTGCTTTATTAGATAAAATATGAAATGAAAATTACCACATAGAGTATCAAGATACCTGATATAACAAACATTATTTACTAGCAGTGGATGCACATTGCACAATGTCTACGAGGCATCGGTAAAGTTGATGAAGGCCATCAGTCGAATGAGACTGACGAAACCCTCATCCACCTGGCGATGCTGTGCAGGATGCTGTGTCGGATAAAATCGATTTCGTCCAGTCAGCGGAGCGTGCGTTTAGTGTTTGACGACCTGTCGACAGCCGGCGCCGGGTGCCGAGCCAGGGCTTCCTCCGTCTCTCTGAGGACATCTAACGGTCCCCGCACGGTTCGCACTGCCGCAGCAGCTGCGTTTACAAACAAGGCGCACCGTGCGCCACCGTGCGCCACTGTGCGCCGTATTGGCCACCTGCGCGGCCGTCAGTTGTAACGGTGAAGGCACAGGGTCACCTGCCGATGGAGGCCTCAACTTTGACAGGGGGGCTAGATCAACCCTCACAAGATCAGACAGTGAGCTCTGTCACTGCTTTACGCGCGCGTGGGTCTGTGATGTGATGTGCTTGTCAATTTCAAATGCAAATGCAAATGGACAACGTGCCATGCTAATGGTTAGCTGGCAAGGCCTTGCATTTTCATCAATGTGAATATATCGATGGCAATCATACCTCAGCTTAGTAGAGCTGTTCGACAGAGAGCATGAAGATGACCAGCTTATTTCATGACTTCTAAGACAACCTGGCCTGCTTATCTATGTAATCTGCAATTCAATCATATCATTCATGTCCACCAAGGTACTTTATTCAATTGTATATTTCATTATATATGAATCACTAAGCTCAGCTGTTTTCCCGAGCTCTGTGAGTCGTCGAGTCGACCCTTTTCGCCCCTGTGTCCCCCCCCCCCCCTGCTGTCGGCTGACCGTCGCCGCCGCAGTCCCCACCGCAGCTTCCTGTCCCAGGCGGACTGCTCTGACCACTGACCACTGACCGCAGGACTGCGGGCGACAGGACTGGACGGGTCGGCCGGCTCTGCTGGGAGACCGCCGGCCACGGGACGGGTCTGTCTGCCGCTACAGCGCGTCCAATACTGCTGGCAGTCGGACAGATAGACAGACAGACAGAATAACGCTATATTTCGGTGACCGCGCGTGGCACCCGTGGGTGGGAAGGTGTCAGGGACCCCCCGCGCGCGCGCCGGAGAGATGTCAGGAACCCCCCAGCCGACTACCGGTGCCCCCCCCCCCCCTCCCCCTCCTACCACGGATCTCCGGTTGGGCTTCTGCCGCTTTGGGCACGGGTCGGTGTCCCGTGCCGCGGCACGGGGCCAGATCTGGCCGCCGCACGGAGGGACCGGCGCCGACAGCGCCCCTAGCGGTCGGTCTGGGAAACAGAGCGGCGCCGGCCGGCGCGGCGGCGCGCACACAGCACAGGGCGGGCGCCAGTTCACGAACAGACGTCGGTGGTGAAGGTTGCGCAGCCATGAGTGTCCAGAGTGTGTTCGTCGTAGCAGCCGTGCCGCTGCCCGCAGAGGTCGGCGTCGAAGAGAAGAAGTCAGCGTTCTGGCTCAACAAGCTGTTCGGGTCCGGACGCAAGCGAAAATTGTCCAGAGATATAGGTGAGTCTCGGTCCCTCTTCGTGATGTGACCTGTTGGTGCTCGATTCGATTGCTGTTACTGCCATTCGTAATGAAATTGTCATCGAAAACGCAACATACATTCTTGATTCCTAACGTGATTGATGTGTCAGTGTTCGCTTTATTGGTGCACACACGTCACGATTTGATGACGGGTGAATGACGCAATTGATCGACCACGTGAGTGGTCAAGGTCAGGTTCGCTGTACATGTTAGCGTCGGGTCATACCTGGGATAATTCGTGGAATATGTGAGCAGAGAGCAAACATGTAACTTTTTAAGTGATTTTCTAGGATTTTTCATTAAAAAATAAAATGGTTGATCGTTTCAGCCAGTCAATAAGACAGAATTATTATTCGCAGTCTGTAATCATCTGTCTTAACTCTAAACGTCATATTTATCGCACCATTCATAAATTATGGTGAATAAGTCGTCACATTTACACAGTGAGTGTTCATACAACTCCATCTAACTGGTGTATTATCTCTCCGTTTCAGGGACATCGATCACCGAGGAGCAGTTGTACCAGGAGTCGCCTCCGGCCTCCCCGCGCAGCCCGGCCGCCTGTGCCCGCGCGCCCGGCGCCCTGCCCGACCTGGTGACCTGCTGCCAGCGGCGCCCCCAGTCGCCAGTCGTGTTCACCTTTCCGGAGGTGGGCGGCGGCGGCGGCGGCGGCTCGGCCGGCTCGCCGCCGGAGCCCAGCCCAGAGCTGCGCTGCCGCCTGGCCGGCCTGGACGGCACTCCCCGCGGCGGCGGCGGCGGCGGCGGCGGGATGGTCGCCCCCGCCCCCGCCCCCGCCGCCGCCGCGGCGCACGTCGACGACGAGCTGCGGGAGGTGGGCCGCTGCCTGCGCCGCTGTGCCGACGAGTTCGAGCTGTCGCGCCGCGACCGGCCGTCATCGTCTCCCTCACCGTCTGCCCCGTCGTCATCGTCGCGGCGCGGCCGGGGCCGGCCGGTGACGGTGGAGCGGCTGGCCGCCGGCGCGCTGGTGGCCGCCACCGCCGTCTGCGTCTGCCGCCGACTCTATAACTAGCCGCCGCCGGACCGGCACCAGCGACTCGGCCTGGTGCCGCCCGCGCCACTGGTGATGCCTTGTGATGTATGTGGCCGTCGGGTATGTGTCGTGTGTGCTCGATCTCAGTGTGTGTACGCCGCGTCGCGATTTATTATTATATTCCTGCGCGCTTCGCGCAGCGGTGGCGGATGGACTCGCTCGTTTTAAAATAAGTGTCTGGGAGGGAAGCGACGGGCATTTTTGTTGAATTGATCTCCAGCGCTGCCAAATGATCTCCGGCGCTGCCAACCGACGCAGGTCACGTGACCCCGGCCCTGCCATGTGGCGCAGATCACGTGACTCTCACGGAGCAATACAATCCGCGTATGTCTTTCCACGGCTAGCAGTATCAGTCATGTCCCGTTCGTCTTTCACCTGGTGATTCGTATGTAAATACACAGGTATCCCAGTTTGCGTCTCTGTAACCGCTCTCTCTCTGGGTTAAACCGGTCGCGAAGAGTTTCAACGTGTTAAGCCTTCAGGTAGTTGACTTGGGCCCGTTTTCGCGAGTCATGATACACAAGCATTGTGACAGTTAACAACAACAAACGCAATCAACCGTCATAAAATGTTGACAGTAATGGCATCAGACGACATACCACTTACTGTATAAGGAAACCACAACCCCAGCCAGCAATTTTGCTCCGGGCCCAAGCAGGCTCAAGTGCGGATTGCCCGAATTTTTTAGTCGGGCTAAAGTCGGCTAGGGCTTGGGCTAAAGTCGGCGTATGACACAAAAACGCCGACTAAAGCCCATGCTCTGCCGGAGGTATGCCCGCTCTGCGAGCTCCGGACAGCCGTAATTTAGCCCTAGTTGAGCGACGATTGGCGTTAGCCCGATTTAAGCCCGAGCAGTGAATCCATTTATATAATGGAGATTACTCTGGGCCCGAGCGGGCTGAACTCCGGCAAGCCCACTCTGTGTGCCCTGTCTATCCCGACTTAAGCCATAGAAGTGAATGGGGTTTATACATTGCAAACTGCTGTGGCTTTGCTCGGGTTCCGCTCGAGTGACGGCTCCTGTTTTCTCAAGTCTCGACTTGACTTCATCTTGCTTTTGCTTCACACTGGATCAAGTAGGAAGGAGCAGCCAATGCACTTTCAGCAGGTTGTGCGGTTTCAATGCATATTTAAAATTGTTACGGTCACTCATATGCTCTGTTAAAGGGACACTCCCACCTTAACATTAGTTTTGAGTTGAGATAGCCAAATTGGTGGCCATGGCCTGCAAATACCGGTTTGGGCACTCACAACATCGAAAAATGCTTTAATTCGAAGATATGGAATTTCAAACTTGCAGTTTTCGGATTCTAAGGGGCTAATGCATTGGAATGCCCCCTTAGAATTTGTGACGTCAGCGGAGATCTAACGATTTTTAAATCTTAGACTAAAACCATCGTTAAAGGGACTATCCCACCTTCTAAAATGTTGTTAAAACCAGTTAAATTGTGCCCGACTTTATAGATTGGATGACCAGGAACACGGTTCTGGCATTTATTTTTCATTAAACATCTTAGGCTTCCCATATTCCAAACACAAACGTTCAAATATGTGACGTCACAGCCCAAAATTACCTCCTTCCCCAGGCCACATTACTGTCATAAAGCTGATTCTTTATACTCTGTAGGCACCACAACAAAGTTCAGACCAAGTTTTAAGCGATTTTTCAACGAACAAACTCATTTAAATCAGAATGACTAAACGAGGTGACGTCACACTAACGGTCGCTCCATGTTGAAGATAGGGCCTTGTACAAGGCCCATTTTCAAATGAAGGGAACGAATTTCTTCAACACCAAGAGGCCGCGGGGGTTGCAACCTAGATAGATAGTGGTTTCTGAACCTCGCCGCAAACTTGGCTATCTCAACTCAAACCCCATGTTAAAGGTGGGATAGTCCCTTTAACACGTGGTGGTATACGCTGCTTTGCGCGCAACGTCTGCCGCACTTTAAGGCTGCCAAATTATTGCTTCCAAATAAAGTCGCTAGTATCAGGGGAGATCCCAAAAAGTAAACAAAAGTAAAAGCCTAATATCTTGAAAACCAGTGAATATTTTTCGGTGAAATTTGGTAGATATTCGTTTTCGCTCTTTCTGAACCAAGGGACATCACTTTCCCAGCCAGCAATTCGCTTGGGCTGAACTGTGGCAAGCGTCGGGCAGCTTGGGCTTAGCTTGGGTTTGCCCACTTTGATCAAAACCAATGTATTTTTTACTAGGGCTGAGCTGGGGCATGCCGCAGCTATGCCCACGTGCGGATAGCAGTAGCTCAGCCCGACATCTGCCCGCGCATCCAAAACAGGCTTAACTTGGGCGGAGCGCGGGCTGATCAAGCTGGCTGTGTCCTTCGGCTAACTGGAGTAAAGCCGGAGCTTAGCCATACTTGTTCGGCTGTTCGCGCATGCGCAGTTCTGCGCCAATCATGTGCAGCGTTTGTGACAGTCTGTGCGCTGTGCGACGAAACGACACACCGGTGTTGGGGCATTTGGTGGTTGATGTTTGGGCGCGTGTGACAGCGCGAAGAAGGGATAGTGCTCACTGCTCTTATCAAGTGGACTGGCATGGAGTTTCACGGTAGGTAAGTGTATTGAATGGTGCGCTTGATCGTATGTAAACGTCATGATTTTGACTGAGTTTGACGCCATCAAACATGAAGCTGAATAGCTGTTCAGCCTGGCGACTTATACCCTCGCTCAGAAAAGCTGCATTCCGTGCCTTTATATCTTTGTGAAATACCAGCACTTCTGACCCAGGAAAATGAAATACAAAACACAAATATTTATCTACTTATCACCGAGCACGCTCATTCTCTGTCCGCATTTAAAATCAAATGAACATTTTATACGGATCAATGCGAAGTGTTTTTACAGTATTAATGCATCAATAAGTTATTTTTCAAGCAAACATGCAATGTAAATTAAACCAATTCATCTCTTTTTCAGGTACGTACCATTAGAGCAAATGGTTCAAAAAAAAATGGAATAGTTATACAAACCAGGACCGGGTGGACGCCGCAGTTGCCGTCGCCAAGTGGTTTAGCGGAAACTGCCTGCTTATAATTAAGTAGGTATACCTACATATACGGAAACTGCGCCGAAAGCTGGCCGACCACCTACTGCAGATGTGTGTGTGTGGAGGAGCCAGACGCCTCCAAAGCTCCCATTCACCAGAGTGAAGTTCCTTATAAACGATTGTTTTTTTGCTTTATGTCTTATGAGCGATTACTTGCTGTCCTTACTTTATGCTTTCAGTTGAGTGTTTAACCAAGTATTATGAACGGGGAGGGAGGCTAGCGGGCCTTGTGATTGTTTTATAGTTTTGATGGCGTTTTTCATGACTCATGCCATATTACTGCTGCAGTTTGCAGTCCACTGTTTCATGTATTTGCGTTTCATTTGACGTGTCTGTAGTCGTTTGAAATATACATTCAATCAAAGTCAACCACTACTTTCCTTTTGCAATGCTCGAGCCTCGATGACCGGTTAACAGAGCATATGAGTGACCGTAACAATTTTAAATATCCATTGAAACCGCACAACCTGCTGAAAGTGCATTGGCTGCTCCTTGCTACTTGATCCAGTGTGAAGCAAAAGCAAGATGAAGTCAAGTCGAGACTTGAGAAAACAGGAGCCATCACTCGAGCCGAACCCGAGCAAAGCCACAGCAGTTTGCAATGTATAAACCCCATTCACTTCTATGGCTTAAGTCGGGATAGACAGGGCACACAGAGTGGGCTTGCCGGAGTTCAGCCCGCTCGGGCCCAGAGTAATCTCCATTATATAAATGGATTCACTGCTCGGGCTTAAATCGGGCTATCGCCAATCGTCGCTCAACTAGGGCTAAACTACGGCTGTCCGGAGCTCGCAGAGCGGGCATACCTCCGGCAGAGCATGGGCTTTAGTCGGCGTATTTGTGTCATACGCCGACTTTAGCCCAAGCCCTAGCCGACTTTAGCCCGACTAAAAATCTCGGGCAATCCGCACTTGAGCCTGCTTGGGCCCGGATCAAAATTGCTGGCTGGTTCATGCCAATTCAATAACTTTTTTGAAGGTGGGAGGGTCCCTTTAACCGGTCATCGAGGCTCGAGCATTGCAAAAGGAAAGTAGTGGTTGACTTTGATTGAAAATTGAATGTATATTTCAAACGACTACAGACACGTCAAATGAAACACAAATAGGTACATGAAACAGTGGACTGCAAACTGCAGCAGTAATATGGCATGAGTCATGAAAAACGCCATCAAAACTATAAAACAATCACAAGGCCCGCTAGCCTCCCTCCCCGTTCATAATACTTGGTTAAACACTCAACCGAAAGCATAAAGTAAGGACAGCAAGTAATCGCTCATAAGACATAAAGCAATAAGCAAACAATCGTTTATAAGGAACTTATAAATGCGCAGTATAAATGCGACCAGATGCGCGGGTAGATGTCGGGCTGAGCTACTGCTATCCGCACGTGGGCATAGCTGCGGCATGCCCCAGCTCAGCCCTAGTAAAAAATACATTGGTTTTCATCAAAGTGGGCAAACCCAAGCTAAGCCCAAGCTGCCCGACGCTTGCCACAGTTCAGCCCAAGCGAATTGCTGGCTGGGACATTACTACAAAGTGACGTCTCATTTCATTGCAGGATATGGTTATCGCTAATGTGCAGGAAACATCAGAGCTGGTTATCGAAAACAAGGAAAAAGCGGGCTTCTCCAATTGGTTCGCTTAACACAATCAGTACATACCACATTACAGTGTAGGTGCTACCGTGCTTACTTATCACGTCTGCTTAAATTATGCTATAGCAGACAGATTCGTTTTGAATCGGCAAAAATGATTGAATGGAAAGGTGATGTTAAAAATTTTAAACTTAAAGGAGTTTGAATTTCATAATCAGTTTCAGCGTTAGTTAATCATAATCCAGATCAACAACTCATATGAGAAATTACTGAGGTAACGTTAACAATTATCCAATGTCCGATGCTAACACATGGCAAGAAGTTCCTAAAAGCAGGTTTCGGCAGCAGAGTTTCTGAATCTTATTGACATTTTCCAGTTCCGCTGGCCACTGAAAGCCGGCACTGGCCGCCGGCGTGGTGGTGTGGCGGCGGCCGCGGCTCGCCCTATACGCCGGGGCGATGTCCTGCACCCTGCAGCTCCCGCGCCGTCCGGTGCCCCCCCCCCCCCCCCCCGGTACCTGTCCTCCCAGCACGGATCCCGCTTCGACAGGGCGCACGTGCGAGCCGGTTGGACCGGCTGGGCGGCCCGGACCGGTTTTGGACGCCGCGCCGCGTCTCCCCGCCGCCCGGCCCAAACGCGGTGTTATTGATGGGAGGTGATTACACGCGGTGTGATGGAGGTGAAGGTCTATAGGACGCACTGCTGATATGGGCTCGCTGGGAAGTGGTTTGACCTCTGTGGTTGA